GGATCAATATTCCATAGAAATTTCAACGTTTGAATAATTCCAATAGCAATCTGTCACCACTCCTTCGATGGATATCTCCTCCATCGACTTATATAAACCCAAAAAAAAGGAAAAATCCAAAAAGAGATAAAGTCACATCTGCGGGCTTCCGTGAAAATTCATTCTTTCTCCTACTATTACACGAAGATGTGGAAAAAGAGAGAGAACCGAGTGGTTGTTACAGACAGACGGTGGCGATAAGAGAAAAAGAATCATGAAATTCGACTGAATTATTCAGTGGTAAATGAAAGTGAGGGTAAAACTGACACCTGAGAACAAGACATGTACCCCACCATTTTATTGCTTTCGTTAATTTTTTTTTCGCCTATTTTTATTTCCAACTTTCCCGTGAAATCGCGCTCAATAAATTTCCCAAGATGGAATTCCCGTGGTTTTGGTGTAAGACATACATCAAAATAAATTCTCGGATAATAGATTCGATGCCCTATCGATTCCGATTGCCATACCAACGAATGCCAAGTTATCCTCCTCGTCTTTACATTATTATCTGTAGAAATCGACAGATTTTGATTCCGTTGCCAAAACAAAATTACAAGAGAGCAACCAACCGGTGGAATATCGATTTCGGTCAACTATCGGCACATACATACGAACGAGATGACTTCCAATGAATCTAGGGTAACTCTAATGCAGGAGTTTTTTTTTAAAGGCTCTTCTTGTAGTCATTAGTGTCGGGTGCTATTTGACTTGATGAAGATTGACGCAATTGGCTACCTCGGAGCCGAGAAAAATAGACGATCTATCGAGTTTTATACCGTCAATGTGTCAGTTATTGCCACTTGTAGCCTGACACAACGAGCTTCTTTACACAACGAAAAAACTTAAGGAATTTATTTTCTAAGTGCTCTAAGAAAATTCCTGAATTTGCATTTTTTTGTCCCTATGCATGGATCGAAGACTTGCATTGTCATGTGCTGAACAAATAGTTTGAGAGGGGAAGATAATCCGAATAAATCAAAAATTTCTACATCTAATAAATGAAATGAACCGACATTTCATTCTGTCCCACCCTCTCCTATATTCGAAAGGTCGATTATTGATCCGGGATTTTTTTTGTCACGAATGTTTGGAGCCCGACGCTCAATTATCAATGTTTTAACGCCGTCTCTAACGCAGGTATTCATTCAGTGAGAAAAACACTGTTCAAACACAGCCGGTGTACATTGGCTCGAGGTAAAAAGAACTGTGGAAATCGGACGCTTTATATATCACTCGTATTTCATCAGCTTTCCAATTATAGAACAGTTATTGCAGTGATTTTGAATATTGAAATTAAAATTTAAATCCCCATAAAATCCCTGCATTTCCGAAACGGTAAATGGCATTGAGAAAAAAAAATATGTCTCTCAATTAAATTTATCAGAGCCAAACAAATTTTTTTGTGGCAAAAGTTTTAATTGCGTTTGTGCAGAGATTATGGACGTTTACTCATGCTGATTAGCAGAAATATTTCTTTTTCTCAGTGCGAATGGAGAATAATAGTCAAACATCCCCCCGGAGAATAAAAAAAAAGTCGAAGATAAGGGAAAAGATTTGATTTAGGGCAAGCAAGAGAACTCTTCCTGAAATTTCTATAATTTCTGTACCTCTGATGGTTTTACTTATATTTTCCGCGGAAAAACCCTTCCCTTTCGATTGCTGAACATTGTCAGGGAATTTTCTAAATATGAATGTCGGCGCGATCACTTCAAAGAGCTGCTGATAAAGACCCTCAGTCGGTAAGAATTTTTACCAACATGAGATGCCATTTTCGTACGTCAGACAGAACAAACGGACCTTTACCGACGATCGTTGAAAATTCCAGAAAATTCAAATTTTTAAAAAGTATGAGTTATACTTGAGTATTTAGCACGAATTTTTTTTCTGAGCTTACTGATCTTCCTAAATATAATGAATTGATTAGACTGCTTTTTAGGGAATTTTCACGTATATCGGCTAAAAGTCCGTGGTGTCATTGAAAGATACTCCAATAAAGCACTCACCGGCGTTGGGTGAACCCCATTTTCACCTCTCGTAACTGGACCTACTTTTTAGATTCCTAATAGTCCCTGTTGAATTCTCTGGAACGTTGATCTGCTCCTGAAGATGCTGATGTAGCTGCTCTGACTCTCAGCTTTTTGCGTCACGTTTGAAGTTGAATCCTCTGGAACGTTCGGCAGAGATTCTGCGTTCACCTCCCGAAGATTCATATGTAGCTGCTTTCATCTTCAACCTTTTGCGTAGGTTCTGAAAACCCATCAATGTTTTCGATTGAGTTTTCAATTTAATTCTCATGACAATGAACAAAAAAATTACTTTTGCCAAGAATATTTTCATCGCCACAATTCAATTAATTCAAATGATTCTCCAACAATTTGTTAGATAATATAAATAATTTCAATGACATGAAGAAACCATCATGTGAATTTAAACTTGATTACTAATAATCTGTTAAAACGAAAATGCAACCAAAATAATTCTGTAATTCTCAATATACTATTTCTGTTCAGAGTGTCTCAAATATTCTGGACATTGACTCACCACTTTCAAAATCCAAACATCGTTCGCCACCTCTCATGTTTATCAACACTCTGGCAATGACGAAAACACGAAATTCTCCGAAATAACACTAGCACTTCACAACATGTAAATCCCGAATAAAATCCATTGTCCTCACGCACTGTACACTTTCACTATTACCACAAACTCATTATTTGCACTGAATTCCCGCACTTTAGGGTGAAAACTCCACTTTTAATTATGAAAAACCGAATGTTTATCCCAGAATTACACACCAGTCGCCATCGGTTGTCCCACTATCACAATTTTCACAGAAACGTGCCATTATTTTCGTATAAGATTGTTGTAACCGTCGTAATACACGAGTACGAACGTTAATTGTATTGGCTAATCGTTACTGTTGATGAATATCGGTTAATTATGCCATTCTTTATCACTATTCTCTTGATTTTATATTTTTTTCACGGACAAAACTCGAGCCGACGCCAACTCCTTTGTCTCCTGCCCCAGACTGACGGCCATTTTGTGCCGATGCCCCCCTCGATGCGCAGGTCGATGCGCAGTGAGCCGACCGATTGCCGCCAGAATGTTTTCGTTGTTCCGTTCGCTGAAATCATTGTCGTCTCATTACAAAATAACAATTATTAACCATCAGAAAGAATTAAATATCACACTATTTATAATTATTTCCTCAATTTTATCTTCATTTCTCCCCAGAAAATGCGTAAAAAGCGGAAATTCTTCCTCGGACACCGAACGAAGGTTTGACATTTATTCGTCGTATTTTCGCGGGAAATGAAGACAAAATTGATAAAACAATAATTAACTCAAAATAATTTGTTTATAATAATGTGGGACGAAGTCAGTCCTGTATAGGTATTTTCCTTGTGAATTGTGAGTGCTAAAGCATGGGTAACTCGGCAAATAAAATGTACAATTTAAAATCAACGTTTCCGTCAATAAATAATTATAAAAGTAGTAATAATGAAAATAACTGAAGAGTAATACCGCCGGATAAATCGCGTGTGCCACCATGTAAATATGTAATAATCAAAAATAATAACTCACTCGTAGTTAGTGTTTGTTCGGAAATAATCGTGGAAATTGTATCCCGCCGGTGAAAAATCTAGTGACTTGTGCTCGTGTGTTTCGTGCCGGTACTGAAACTGAATTCTAACCTCGAATCGTCGATAAACAAAATCGACCAGTTCTCTTCATGCTTGATATCATTCCGTAAGTATTCATCCCTAAAGCCCTCAATAATTCTCCAATAGAAGAAACCCCAGCCTTTGAACTTGCAAGAAAATTCGCAAAATTAATCAATAATCATTTCCTCTCTCCCAAATAAACGAATATCTGCTGACAGTTCAAGATTTTTCCACTCCATGGTCTCCTAAATTAGTAATTGATATGATTTTTTTTTAAATTTGCAGGTCATTGGGGAAATGAGTACCTACGAGGATTTCCTGAAGCTCCACCAGCAGCAGTTGGATTTATCGCAGGTTCCAGAGCTGTTTTGGCAGAAAATCTGGGAGAAGCTGATAAATCAGGTGTTCGATGCAGGTCTGTACTTTAGCATTGCACAAATTGACTACGAGGACACACCAAGGGGTCCCAAAGACCCAGTGTCCAAATTATTCATGTCAGGGGAAAAAGGCATGTCGTGCAAGGATCCTAACAATATATTTTTAATCGATCACGCCTGGACGTACGACGTCAGTACAGCCAGGATTCACCTGAACAAAATGCCAGGTCTGTTGGACCGAATGTGCACGATAATGGGAAACGTGTTGCCCTCTGAATCCAAAGAGGATAGAGTAGAGTTCATCCTTCGAGAGATGTGGAGGTACAATCAATTTTTAACGGTAAATTCGGAGAACATCGAGGAAAGATTACCCCTCTGGTACATAATGGACGAAGTAGGCTCAGCAATTAATCATAGCGACTCTCCAAACTTCCGAGTAATCCCCTTTCTGCACTTAACAGAAGGAATAACTTATTCGCTGTTATTTCCTGTGAATGACGTAGACGTAAACGAAGAAGTGACTAGAGACTTTATTGAAAATCAAACGAATGATTCAAAATTGCGAAAAGCTCTCCTCATACCGTGGATTGATGCAGATTTCAGCAGGGAGGATTTCCTCCAGACTGAGCCAGGGGATGATTATTTCATGAGTGGTAGACGCGAAGAAAGTTTGCCAGTATCTCGAACCCCTGAAAAGGGAATTTTCAATAATTACTCGAATGAGAAGAAACTTAAAGTCTTTACCGAGTACAAGTATGTAAGGGATTACTTAACTGACTCTGCATTTGAGATAACTGATAATGAGGAAGAAGCCGATGTACTATGGTACATGGATCACTTCAAAGATTACGAGACTCTCAGTATAAAATGCCCTCGAGTGTTTGTGAATCAATTTCCCTTTGAGAGCGTTTTAACAGTGAAGGACTTATTATCAATAATCTGCAGACGTAAATGTGGTAGTGAGAAATATGATTCTGAAAGTTTGAGGACATATCCAAAGTGGTTACCAACTACGTACAATCTCAGTGGTGAACTTATTAAGTTTGTATCATACTTTCAAAATCGTGAGATTAAGGAACTCGATAATCACTGGATATGCAAGCCCTGGAACTTGGCAAGGGGCTTAGACATTCATCCAACTAATAATTTGAATCATATACTTCGGCTACCGAGCACCGGCCCCAAAGTTGTTCAGAAGTATGTATCATCTCCGGTACTTTATGATAGGCCAGACGTTGGTAAAGTTAAGTTTGACGTAAGGTACGTGGTACTGCTCAGCTCGGTAAAACCACTTCAAGCTTATGCTTATTCCAACTTCTTCCTGCGTTTCGCTAATCGTCCATTTGCCCTGAATTATTTCGACGTTTACGAGCAACATTTTACTGTTATGAACTATTCGGATGTTGCGCCACTTCATCACGTTAAGTGCAAGGATTTTGTCAATGAGTGGAGTAAAATGTATCCGGACTACGATTGGAATAGAATTGTCGAGCCGAGAATATTGAAAATGCTGGGTGATGTGTTCGAGGGTGCCTGTGCTGAGGAACCGCCCAGGGGAATAGCCCACAATCCTCAGAGCAGAGCTGTTTATGCTGTCGATCTCATGCTGCAGTGGGATGAAAGCGATATACAACCGGTTTTACTGGAGATTAATTTCTGTCCGGATAACAAGAGGGCTTGCGAATATTATCCTGAATTCTACAATGATATTTTCAAGTGCCTGTTCTTAGGAAATGAAAATCCCAGTGTCTTTCACAATTTGTCGACTCTTCAATTCAGTGATAAACATTCAGATGGATGATCATTTAATTTGACAAGGTGTGAAGAAAATTCTCGTGAAGTATGAAATGGCTTATGGTTTATTGCTGAGTAAAAAAAATCATTTTGAAATTGAATATTAAATAGTTTATTATTACGAAAGTGATAGTAATTCATTTTAGGATCTAGTCACATGATAAAATGAGGAATAACTGAAATGGAAAAATTGATGGTTCATCACTCCTTGAGATAGTCTCGAGCGGAGGGGTTTAAAGATAGATGTTAAATACTATTTACCCTGTTCTGTGAGCACTGGCATAACTTCATCATCGTGTACAAATGATTTCATATCTTGTCGTTTATCTTAATTGTTTTTTGCTCATTGCTTCCATTCTATCCACAGTTGTAGTACTCTATTGCTCTTGAATTTTACACAGAATTGAATATTCATATAACGCAATCCCCACATTTTCTATTTCATGATTGTTTCATTCTATAATTTATTCCTATTAAGGTACTCTAGTGATTACTGTCTAACTTTATGATTGGATTGGGAGTAAAAATAAGGGGATAATTGAAGTACCGGAAACAATATTGATAACAAAAACAATCAGCCTCTTCTCTCACTCGTTATTTCTCTCAATGATACTAAATATATTATTCTCTACTCGGATACATTTGATTTTAACGTATAAATTATTCTCTTTCCTCACACTCTAACAGTATGGACGCAAAAAATGTAAAAAAGCGTTTTCTTTAGTTTTTCTGTTACAAACTCACTCATACATGGCTCGATTCACTCATTGATTGTATTATAATTTATTCCTCTCAGACGGCCTCGCTGTCAAGTGATAATAATCAAATTTTCCACCGGAAATTGCTGACGAGAAAGAAACAGGAAGATGTCATTCTCCATGAATTCAAATGAAGATGTTTTTCAAACAAATTCATCATCACAATCACAAATTTTTATTCAAGGAACTACCGCTATGAATCGACCATCGTCGATCATCTTTTATTATATTAAAATTTAAAAATCATATATTAATATTCCTCTTTAAATATGTTTCGATTAAGTACTCTACAACGCGTATGATACAATTTCTCTACAATTCTCGTTATATACAATGCAGCGACTCTCACCTCAAAAATTTCATAAATAATCAATTTACACTATATTTAAAGTACGGTTAGTGTCTGTACAGGACTGATGACACCTTTCTCACTTTATTCATTCACATTTTCCTCGCTCCACGGAAATATCCCCCATCTAATCGAAATAACTTCTAAGTGTACCTACTCGTACACGATAAACAGTCGTTCCTGGCCATCTAGGCCCTACATTTTTAGTATAATGAACGCTTTTGACTCACATAATAACTCATTTATTATTTAAAAACCTTTGGTGCACAAACCTGAGCCTTTCCACAACTCGCAATTAAATGTTCATATATTAAATAGTCTCGTATACCTAAAACTCACTAGAAAAATTATACGAAGCAATGAATTTAGCCATCCGTACGTGGTTTATCACCTTATTCTGCCTCGTTGCTATGACTCACTGATAAAAGACTAGTATTACGACAATATGAAGTCAGCGGAATGGTGCGAATGATGAGAATTCCTGTGTTTCTCTTTACGACTGTAGTTGATATTTGTAATACTGCTTCTTGTTCCATTCGTACCAGTTGTTCCCGATGTGTGATGACTGTATCCGCTGTCACTACCAAAACTGCTGTCCGGTAGTCCCTGGTATAGTCGTCCAGTCGCCATTTGATCGTTATTACGTGACATATAGTAAACTGGCTGTTCGTATTTATCGTCACTGTAGATTCTATCTGCTGGCTGGGCATAAGAATCTGAGTAATCACCATCAACTTGAGTGTAAATTGGCGCTATATTGTCCTGATTGCGGAGATCAAAATACTCGGTAGCATATTGCGAACACTTTGGATAACGCTCACGTGTGGAATTCGCTGAGCGACATTTGTCTTTATTGTTGGTTTTAGTTTGATTTGTGTAGTGATGAAGGGGACCCAGTACAGGTACACTCTCGTAAGGATTCTCGTCTACTCTGACTGGTTGAGTCGCTGGTATTTGCGGCACAAAGTATGGCAGTTTGTGGGCCACCGATGGGACGGATTTCTGTCGTTTACTGGTGCTGGTTCGTGAACCAGCAACACCTGAAAATAAATCAATTGTGTAATTTCATTTGATTTGTCACCAGATCTTCATATAAAAAAAACTCTGTTTCAAGTGGAAAAATGAGTATGACTCTTTTTTTTCCCCCATTACGAGACTACGAGAGTTTTAATTCTTCATCGTTGTTGCTTTTTCCAAAATTAGCATGTTAAATGTGAAATTTAAATTTTAAAAGGGGGCGAGAAAAAAATTAGTTTTGTAAATTACCCGCAACGTTGGGATAGAGTTGAAGGAGTGCGTCGAGCAGCATACCCTCATGAAATTCACCAACATCATTTCCCTTTTCCTTTCTACGTCTGTCTAAGCTTTTAGGACTCTTTCCGCGACGCTCGCGTGATAAACGCGAAGATGTTGGACAGGTACTCCATGTCGGACGGGTTGAGGTGAGGATTTTTGATTCTGATGGCTCACCAAGTGATAACTCATCCTCAGCGAATTCGTCCTCACTCACTGGTTTTGATGCTGCGTGATGACGAGGGTGCGACTGGTGGTAATGATTGAGCCGATTACGCGCGTTCAATTCACTCTCATCGTCTGTATCGTGGTCCCCTAAAAATTGTCAGTGGATGGGTGAGATCAATAATCAATTAGCCAATTGATTACTGATTTTATTGATGAGATTGGGGGAAGGGGAATGATGATGGGGGAGTGGGCGATGCTCACCATTGTTCAGCTCTTCGTACACGGGATTGTAGAGGTCCTGGGATATGTATGGATCGGGTCCAGGACTGCTACATACGAATAGACCTCGGCTACCCTCTTTCACATCGAGCATCTGTTTTCAAACACAAATGAATAAAACTTGAAATCAGAGAGAAATTAAACAAAAAAATAATAATTCATCGTGTCATTCGAAGCTCATTATTTCCATTGGAATTCAGTATCTCTCGGTCTGAATAATTCAATTAGTCGTTGAAAATTCATTGAATATTATACTATCTCCTTGGTAATCTGATATTTCCTATTCAGTTGTGCGAATGGAGGACTCAGTAATGTTTGAAGAAGGAAGTGGTTATTCCGTGATAGCAAATATAACTGAAATGTTCACAGTTAATAATTAATAGGACAGAGAGAAAAAAATTTACAGAAAGAATATCTAATTTATTTCAATCTACTATGAAGTTTTTCTCTTTCTACAGTTCTTTTCTCCACCCGCTCGTAGGTTTTTCCATTTTTCTTTGATACGAGACTGAGAAATATTTACTACGGTATTACATGCATAATTCCACAAGCATATAACCTGAATTAATGTACCCCGGACCTGGAGTAACAATGGTAACGTCAAAAAATGGTGGATTAAAAGGGATGGGATTGTGAAACCGGGTGAATAACCACTCCTTGTCAATTTTTTTTTCCAGCAAAGTAATTTTTATTTTTCATATTTTCTTTTTTGGTTGTGGTTTTGTTTTTGTCAAAAAATTTTGTCCATTATTATTCACTATTGTTATTAGAATTACTACTATTAAAATAAAAGAAATTTCTGTTCATTTATGATTCATACATGCTACATACACTCACTTCAATTGAATTTTTTTTTTGCCAGTCTTCTCTCACTCACATTCTCTAGTCATTAACAATTTAATCATAATGGAGAATCGATAAATGAAGAATAAAACAAAACATGTGAATTATAATTCAATAATAATAATTGTAATAACAATCTGTGACAATTTACAAAATTATAATAATCCTCAAAGGGCGAGGATGAATCATCGATTTGTCAAATGAGTTTTCGATATCAATTATCTTTACTGGATAAAAGTGAAAATTCACCGTATAAAAACATAATAAAATAAAATCAACAATGTTGAAATGATGAGGAATATGGGCTGAGCCTCATTAAAACATAAATAATAAATATTGACTAGTCTCACGTTATCTTACTACAATAAATCCTACTCTACTGTGACATATATACACATAACTCGAAGGAGCTAATGAGGAATGCGACGATATTATTCAATAATTCATAGATAAAAAGGTTGGTAGAAAGGTACAGTGAGGTTACGCGCTAAATTTGAGTGACGATCGTCCAGCGATCCGAGTTGAAACGCAACCTAACTTGGATAAAATACCTAATCGTTAAAGATATGTACTGAAAACCTGACAGTGTTTGTCTATAAAAAATTCCTCATTCACGACGAGAGGGGATTATTCGTGAGGGGGGATGGAGGTTGGGGGGTTATTTTGGCCCTAGTTGATTGTGTCGGCATTAATTCTAATAGAATAGATACAATTGATTGGCTACAGAACCAATGCGACAGCGGGAATAGACAGGACAGAAAGCTGTCATGTTTTTTCGGCATTGAAATACGGTTGCTCTGGTGCACCAAGGAGCTGATGAATTTGCTGTATTGTGCACAATGGACAGACTTCATCGTCTGTAGCATCACCAGTGGCAACACGTTTCGCCCATCCAGGTGCTTTTTTAAAGCCCGTATCAATGTATGAATAACCATCAACATCGAAGTACTCGTATTTCTGATTAGACCCTTGATTACGTACATCTATCCTAGTATCAAATTTATGCCGATTGTCAGTGTCAACGTACGAGTAACCCTCGGAATCTACAGAGGTACGTCTATTGCTCCTCTGGCCATACACTGAATTGCTCTGTTGCTCCATGGTAAATGGCTTCTCAGACGCTAATTGCGGCGTTGGTACACGATTTCTGTGTGTTGGTGTTATAACGTTTGATGATACTGGGGATACAATCTCATTGACACTAGTGTACGCGATTGTTGGTTGTACTGATGCAGTATCAGTTGTACATGAACGTTTATACCGATGACTGTACGATTGTACTGATAGCGATGATGATTCAGAGTTATCTAAATCAACGTTGTAATTACTTTGACTAGTCAATTGGTGGGTATTACTAAGCTGCAACGCGATTACTGGGGCTATTAATGATGGTGTATTAGGCACATATGTTGCTATTGTCTGTGATACACCTTGTGATTTGGCGAGGAGGGCGCGGGGTGTTCTGTAACCACCGAGTATTGCTCTCGACGGTTTTTCATTGACACGCAGCACATAACGTGGATCCCGGTAGTCGAGATAGTCGAGGTGATGGTTTGCTGGTACATTTTCACCATGATGTTTGGCATTTTTTCCGCGTACCTCTATTGTCGGTGGACCACTGTGCACTGATAAGTGATTGTGCAGCTGGTTGTGGGGTGTTGTCTCGGGTAGATCCTCGTACAGTAGACCGCTCCCCGTTGTATTTCCACCTTGAAGTGTTTGACCCTCACCCAGATTACGACGATTAGCTGCTGCTGCTGCTGCTGCTGCTGCCGCTGCCGCTGCTGCTGCACTCTTGCACGGCAACAAACCCTGGACTTTTCTCTTGTGCCTGCAACACATTGAGAAACATTAGGATTTTGTGGGATTTGTTGGGGTCTCAACAAGTGTGAATCACACCGGGGGATTCACTCAATCTAGGGGGTAAATTGGTGATTCAATTTGAGGGGAAGGGGCCAATCGAATTATACACGATTGATTGATGGTTAATAGGAAATTTCCTGGTAATGGCATTCTATGGAAAGCTTGACTCCCGGTTTGAAAGGACTTGAAACGTCTAAACCTGAGAATCCGAGTTTGGCAACAGTCTGGAGAACTAGAAATAGCTTCTATCTCTCTTGTCGCTTGGGGTAATTAGCATAATTCGGTTTCCACAAACTCTCTCAACTTTAGCTTTCGAGTTGACGCCATCCCAGTACTTTTCAATGAATCTTACTTTTTGGCTTGGCTCGCGTCGACCAGTGAGATGGAACCAAGTGTTTTTGAATTCAATTGTATCGCATTCATGAATATTCATATTCATTTTGTTGTTTAATTGAATTTTAGACAGTGGAGATGGGGGAAATTTCGTAATCTCGGTGTATGATGTAACATCGGAGATTTGCGAGATTAAGTTGACTCGATTTTCGAGGACTAATCGATGGACCAAGTTGGAGAGTTTGAGGAGCTGATTTTGAAAGTTTCGAGGAGTTATTCCAGTGGTATTTAGCCCAAGATGGGAATACTTACTTCCAAAATACAACGGAGACAATGGCTGCCATTAATAGTAAGACAACGGCGCATGTGATGATGAGGGCAGTATTCTGTAGCGACGGATTTGTGTGATAGGATGCATCAATCATCTGCAAAAAAGTAAATAAACACAATGGGGAATATTTTTAGATGTTGCTTTTAGTATCTTGAGTGGAGTAATGGATAACAGAAAATAGTGAATAGGGGGTGTCAATGCGACGAGTGAGAATGGCTTGGGAAATATGTGAGTGGAGATTTTTCAATGGGTTTTCACTGTTAACTGAAAATGTAAGTGTTATGTTTTTGATACTTACGGGAATGGCAACGCAGTCCTCGAGTTCTGCTAGGGGTGCCTCAGAGCAGAAAGTACCCTCAGTTAGAAAAGGGGGCCGAGGTGGTGGTGGCAGCCGAAAAACGGGCGGCGGCCCTGAGCACTCCAAGCACTCAGTGCTATCCAGCGTCTCGAGCTCTGCCATCCTCCTCCTCAGCGTTCTACGAAAAATCAGAGAGGAAAAAAAAAATAGCACTATTAGTCTCATTGACGCTAACCATTTATCGTTGAAACGTTACTTCACTCCTCTGCGCCTTATCATCAAGGGTAGTTTATTAACGTCATTCTTTTTTATTTCAAGGAGTTTTTAGAACCCATCAAATTGATTCCCAATATTGTCAATATTAAGGGAGAGCCAATAACGGCGTTTATGCACCCCATTTTTAACGCTAAAGTGCAGGAAAAAAAACACCGATAATCACAAGTGCACGTAGGGAGGCGGAAAAAATATTGAGGCTCGCGTTATTAATTTACCACGTTACTCCCGTTTCATTATCCCTTCGTTCACGCATCGAGAAATTGGGTAAATAACAGCATCAGGCTCTGAGTGATTGAATGAGGCTGACATTCTCCACTCAAATTTTCACCTCAAAAACGTTCCGAAAATGGAATTTACCCTATACCCAGCGTGTGTCACTGTCACCGAATCTCCTTTTTTTTATTTTTGCACGCGAAAACAATACGGATCACACGTATCACAGTGGAAAAAAAAATTCACGAGCAAATTCCCCAGGGTGACGTTTTAATGCGACATATCTCACCTTAAATTGTGATGCTGGACTAAACTGAATTCGCTATAAGCTCATGACTAGTGTCATCCCTTAGGCCGTTGACAACTTATCAAACACAACTGGCAACACAATCATCTCTAGTACATCCCTTTAACTTTCACCAGTGAACATTCACACATCACACCCCATGACACAATTACAATCGTCACGATGATGGCAATCAAACATATCCAGTGGGTGACACTTCACTATTAAAAATCAACTCATCACCACAAAACGCTGATTAAAATTGACAGCAATAATTCCCACGGTGTAGTGGTGAGGCACTCAAGTTGCGGTGATCTCAATTGAGAAAAGTTGAAAACTTTTAATTCACGGTGGAAATAAAATAGTGGAGATTAAAAAAAAAAATTGGTAAAACTTTTTGAAGCTTATAGGTTGAAGGTATTGGGGTCGATGCTGGTATAGCGACGACGCGCGACACACTGTTGCTCTGGTTTTTCGATGTGAACCTCGTCCTCTCCATTCGGCATTCATCCCCCCTACCGTCGGCTTTCTCTTGGTGTTACTCACAGCCCCACCACCACCCTGGATCCGTTGGGTGTCCCTTACCACCAACCCAACGCCAACATCAGTCCCCCCACTATTCCTCGCGCAAACCAACTACTGGGGTACGGTATAACCCCAGGGGTAGGAGAGAGACGGTGAGTGGAAGGATGGATTTATGTACACGAGAAGCCAGAGAAACGCTGCCGGAGAAGGGGGATGGGAATGAAGAGGGGGAGGGAAATCGACCGGGGGTTGCCGGGGTTATACGGAATGAGTTGGAGGAAGAGCCCCGGAGTACGTTCTTCGGAACGTCAACCCACCAAACCCAAGGATGAAAAGCCAGAGAAAAAAAAAAGGGGAGAAATAAAACTCCGCTCTCGGGGTAATAGTGGGGGGATAAATCGTCCGATTTGAAAAAAAAAAGTGATGAGGGAGTGCAGGAGAAAAATTGACTAACGTAAGCCACTCTGTCCCAGATTGAATGGTAAATTTTTACGAGTTTTATGGTTTATGGGGGTATACCTGTGTTTTTTTTTTCCATGCATGTGGAAGACACCCAATATGCTCCGTGAAATGACTTTTTCTGGATTCGAGTGGTGCTGGGGGTGAGGGTTTTAATTAAAACGTCCGCGTTTTATAAGGATTAATTTATGTTTGAGTGGAGGAGAATTGGAGGTTTATCGGATTGAATGTGGGATTTTGAGTTGGAGGGAGGGAAAAAATGGGGGCCAGGAGTTTTCTGGAAATTGATCCCTTCCGTCTTTGGGGGGGGAGGGACACAAATTGGGTAGGATTGAGAGCCAGGGGAAAAAAAGTGGCTGCTCGTGTCTATCTCGACGATCGGATAATAATCGACGAACGGTGAAGTACAATGAGCCTCATAATTAGAATATTGTATAGTGGAATTATGGGGACGTCAGTTGGCACGCGAGCCTATGGGCGGTGAGGGTCAGTTGGCATGATGGACCGTTTTGTTATTTTTCACCGCTGGATGTCGAGGGATGATATCTAAATTATCTTCTTTTCTTGGGGGCTGGGTTTAAAATGCCCCCCCGTTACCTCGGGGATTATTTGGAATCCTTAATATACCGGTTGGATGATGGGTATAAGGTTTAGAGATCGAAGCAGCTTGCTACTGGGGCACGAGATGTCTTAAACACTGGGAGGGCATTCTGTCGTTTTTGGCGAGTGTCTCGAGTTGAAAATCCCCGGAGAGAATACGTCCAGAGGAATGGAGAGGGAACAGAGAGGGAACAGAGAGGGAATAGAGAAGGAATATAGAGAGGAACTGAGAGGAACAGTTGGGCGAGATGCGAGGATAATTGGCGGGCAGGTATGCTGACTGACTCCAACTCCTCCTAACCAACCTCACAAGATTCTCCAACGCTTCAGAGGCCAACTATACTGTTCTAACGTTAACTTTCAAACCGCAACGAATATCCCGGAGCCCCGTGGTGAAAAAAAAAAATCAACCCTCAAATTATTCCGTCAAGTTAAAAATCACCTGTCGTTTTTTCTCTTGTTTTGCCTCGTCCAGTTTTCCGATGGAGTCATTATTTACTGTGGAATTATTTCAGCCTCTTTTTTTTTCCAGAATATCTGTTTTCGAAATCCCATAATGACGACGACTTAATCATTTCCGGGTGAATTTAGATATTTTCAGTGGATAATAGACTGACGGAAAGTCGGAATACTCCCGTGGGTTTAGAGACGTTGGCATCTTATTTGCGAGATTCCACTGGCGCCTTGAAAGAGTTCTCCGAGTTTTTTAAACTTGTAAATTGTTTGAGAGAATTTTTGGAAAATTTCCATCAAATGTAGTTCAACTTTTCAGCGAGGAAATGGCCTCATTCTCACATTTCAACTTTTCGAGTTCTAAATAATGGATATGGGTTTATGATTGAGTTGGTGAAAATCGAAAAAAATGAGATGAAAACATTTCAACTTTTTTAATCTCATTTGTAGGTTTTTTTTTCCGGGGCTTTTACAATCTGCAGTTTCTTTTTCCCCTCTTTTCTTTTATTTTTCAGAACCATTGATTCGCGGGCCCGAGAAAAAAGTGTAAAGTTTTTAGGGCACGTTTTGTTAGTAATGAATAAAGCATTTCCTACGTCATCTACCTGCCGTGTTTTGAAGTACTCTCAAGGGTGCTGAAGGAACAATGGATACGTCATTCTCAGGTGGTAGAATCCTCTCGTCACACCACGCCTCACCGGGGGGGTGGAGACCCTGGGCGCCCTTCTTCCCTCAAAACCCCCCTCTGGGTCGTCCCCATAGGTTTACACTCCAACACTGAGGTTTCGAGTAGAGTGTAGTGTAGTGTAGCTGACGCCGCGCATCACTCTGACACTAACGCGTTCACCCCTAATTTCCATTAGCGCAGAAAGGCCACAGACTCACCGTCACTTACATGTACCATACATTCATATCCCAACGTCAACTCGTTCAGAATTCAACATGATACCGGTAAATCTATTATATTTCATTTCTGTCTCGTATGATTTTCAGAGTTACTCGAGAAACTCATTTTCGGGCTTACAATGGATTTTCAAGTGGTAACGGGTTTATTTTCAAGGGCCACTAATCCAGAGAGGATCTTGGGAGGATGTGCAGAGATTTCTGGAATTTAAGTAGTCGAGTAGTTGTATTTGTTGGAAGGTGTCTCTGTGGTATGGGCTCGTTCATTTTTTTTTACGTTTCGGATTTTATTTTTTTTTTTTACAATTTTTATAGGAGACAAAGGGTGATTTTAGGTGTATTTTCCTCGTAAATGATGATGAAACATTCAGGGATTGGAACGATTCGGAAACCAATTTTTTTTCCACCCCTGCCCCAGCGGTAGATCTACGATCTTCGGGGGAGGAAAGTGACTTTTTTTCGAAAAAAAAAAACGAATATTGTTTTCAACTGATCGCTCATTTCACGCGTATTTATCTCCCTATTAAAACAAAAACTCTTGAATAATAAATTATCGAAACTCCCATAGCGCATACCCCCGAGGAAAACTCGCATTCATCCGCACGAGTTGAATACAATTAATTTCTTTCCCCGTAATTAGACATATGTCTTGCCTCAAGACTGTGGAGTCTACCAACCTCACCCCTAAGCATTTATTTCACTCGAAATTCCTCCAAGGATTCGCATTATAATTAGCGATGTTCATCGTATGAGCCAAAGTTAAGGATTTTAATTAAATTAAACTCGCATCACGTTTCACAAACAAAAAAGCACGTCCACACAATGCCCAGCGATAAAGTATGCCTTTTGTGTTTTAACTAAAATTCTCAAGCACATGTTATTCCATGCATACTAAAAATCATGGAAAATGCATGTCGACGGATAGTATAGTAGCATCAACACTATTATCAGAATAATAACTCCATGTATATTAATTATTCGGGTAATTCTGATACTCTAGTTACAGAATATATGAAGGAGATTTGCGCACTGAAAATTTCAACAAAAGCTGCTCGAACTATACCCATAAAATTTCGAGTTTCTATCCGATCTATCTAATTCACGTGAAAATAACAAGGTTCTCTCAATTTAATAACCTATATCAAATATTTCTAATTGAATCTGCTATATATCCGTGTTTTTCCCCGGAAAGAGAAGTTCTCTGTAATTGCATGAGTTCATAATTAAATAATAATACTGAATTATGAATTAAATGTTATATAACACTTATGGCTTTAGATGAAATCTCCATTTTTGGGAAATTTCAATAACGGTTGGATAATGAATACTTAATCCTGTGAAAAATTAACCTTTTTCTCTCAATCGAAGTAGATATGCAATATTTCAAATAAATCCGTAATTTCACTGTTTTTATTGGATAATAAATGTTAAATTCTCGATTAACATTGCATGAGTTCATAATT